ACTTTCGGGGTCTTGGCTGTGAAAGGAGTGTATTCTAGTTGGCAGGATTCTTTATTTTTTTGGGCTCTAAGATACCGGGGGGTTTTTCAGATTGGTGGCTCCATTCAGGGAACTTCGGGGCCATCAAGTTCGGAAGAATAAGCCAAAAAGCGCCAGGTAGGAGGTCGACTTAGAACTTTAGATTAGGGCCTTCCCTACCATCCCCGAGGGGATTCGGGTGCGGGGGCGTTCACTCATTGTTCGAGCAAGATGGAAAAAAAGCTCTAAAAGATCTGCCGGATCAGACGAAGGCCCCCGATTCTTTACGACGAACTGTCGAAAAGGGAATTGGTGGATCTTTTCAATATAGGAAAGAAAAAAAAGCCCTCAACCAAGCCACTATAGATGGATACATCGAAAAATTAAGATTGGACGTTGAGACGGTGGGTTTCACAGAGAATTACTATCAAAAATAGATTCTTCTCCAGACGGAACACTGGAATAATTGGGGAACCCCATTCCATTTAAACTTCTTCACAAAGGCAGAAAAAAGGATCGCATCTATTCCATTATGCTGGAATAAGCCTTTTGATCTATTATTCTATCTTGAAAGTCTATTTTCTTTTACAAACTATCCTTTTTGAAGCAGATAGTTCACAGTGCTTATTCTATAGATACTGTAAAAGCCAACGCTCATGTTTCCACTCTATTTTCATTACGAAGGATGTATCACGTCAGGATCCGTTGCTCAAACCGGAATTCACCCAACGTTATGGAAGTTCCTGGATTGTGTGAAAGTAAGGAGTAGTACACAAAGGCACCTTAGTGATTTCATAATCAAAAAATGGAAAAATTGGCTATGGAGGATTCCGTGCGGTCAGAAATTAATAGAGACACAAAGGGGTTTCGACAGGAAAGTCGTTTCGATCCAATCCATTCTGTGGGGTCAAATAAAGACAAAAAAGGATATGTCAGTGACCTAGCACGACCAAAAGGCACTCTCCGAGGGGCATGGAATGTCTAATTTTCGGTTTCAGAATCTCGACAGTAATGTCTCTCTTAGAATTCTTCCGGTCGAATACGGGAAAACTCCATTCAATTCTCGATGGAAAACGGAGTTTGCGGAATTCTCCCCAGAACTGGAGATCATTTTCGCGATCTCGAACATATTCTAGGTTTCAATGTGACTATTGCACTTCGGGCCAACACCACAAGATGAGGACTTTAAAACCACGTGAGCGGCTTTTTTTCAAAAAGATGAGGGAAGTCAGTAAAGATGTCGGAGAAGCGAAATATACGAGATTCACAAACGTAGATGGCTCGCGGGCTAAATATGCGAAAGCTTTTTTCAAGCCCTTTTTGTAAAGATTCCTCCTACTAGTGATATACGGCGTTATAAGTTGTCCAAGTGCCAAAAAAGAGGTTCCTTTGCACGAGTCGATGTATTTTTACGCGGTCGCCCTTCGTGGAGTAGATGAGTTCTTTCGAATTTCTCGGTATTTTCGTTTTCGTTGGAATTAGCATCTCGAGGTCTTTGATGGGCATAAAGAAATCGTCTGGTAGCAACCACCAAAACCAATAGGAACAAGGCTTAGCTCCTGCAAGCTGGTCCATAAAGCAAGGTAAGTAGGTCCATTACCGGCCGGCTCCGGACCGAAAAAGGGACCTAACGGAGTAACCCTTATCCTTCGGATACGGAGATGCTAACGGGCTGGGGGACCTCTCTACCGCCCGAACAGCAAGACTAATGTCTACTTATACCTTTGATTAGGTCCACTTATACTATTTGAGAAAGTCTCTTAAGCTAACCGTAGGTTATATAAGATTCAATTCATCTAACCAAGCGGACTACCTTTACCTTTCGGCTACTACAAGATCTTTAATAAAACCAAAGAAAGCTGAGCCTACTTTACGCACTTCCGCACTAAGCAGGCAGGCCAAACTACAACAAGCAAGAAGGCATCGCCTGGCGGCTTCCAATCCAATGACAAGCAAAAGACGAAGAAGTAACTACTATGCCTTACTCCTTGTGCCCATAGCTTGACCTCTGCCTTTTTCTACCAGCACGGATGCCTTCCCTTCCTTGCCAAGCCGAACCTAGTCAAGCAATGGAGGAGAAAAGGTTTAGAATCCTCGCGCACAGACAGACCCTCTTTTAGCGAAGTCCCCTCCTTCCCAACTCTCCTTACAGCATCCATTTCGTCAAAAAGGACGGAACAGGCACACTTACTTACTTCGTGATTGGGCGTGGAACTGGGAAAAAGTAGCAAGCGCTAAAGGAAAGCTAAAAAGGTATTGGCGAGAAGTAATGGAGGTTTGACGTAGCCTTCAAGAAAAGAGGGAAAGCTAAGGCTAGCTAACGAAGGGGTTGGGATTCGCCTCGCCCTAGTACACCAACCAGGGAAGAAACATTTTAGTGCTTTTCCCTTCCCACCTGGGGGAGCACTAGAATTTCTCAGGGAGCTCGAACACTAATTTCTCCAAAAGAAGGGATGCGAAAAGCGGGAAAGAAGGGGACACTAACGTCGGGGGTAATAAAAAGCACTGTTGGGGTTTCCGGTCAAGCTCGAGCATTCTTCAATACAATACCTATTCTTTCCTGGGGGAGGAAGAAGAAAAGCTCTTTGGAGGGAAGCAGCCACAGGTAAATGCTTTTTTATTTTAGGTCATTATCCCGTAAGCAAATCAAGTGCGGAGTCAGATGATGTGAGAAAATGAATGCCTCCGCGTCCGATGCCATGGAATCTTGCTGCAAAAGTCTTACTAGAATTTTGTTGGACAGGATTGGAATGATCTGCGGAATGAGCTTGATTCGATGGAGATGGTACGATATCACAGACCAGACGTGGGATGCCACGATAAAAACTGAAAGGAATGTAGTAGGATAAAGGGGATTTAAAAACTCCTCCTTTTCTCCTCATTCCTACGAATAGAAAAGTGTGTATTAGACGGAATCCCCCTTGCGAATAAATTTCTAGTGATATTTGACCTTCTTTTATCGAAGAGAATTGGCGTATTAGTAGATTGAATCCGCAAACTGAATGATGGGTCATAGGTAGACTAGCAAAAAAGGATTACCGCAGTCGAATGATGAGGATGTACCGATTTTCAATCTTTTAAGAAATGCTTACTACGTTGTAAAAGCGCAGATGCTTATCTCACTTTTTTTACTGAGTGCCATCAGTCACATAGGTCCTCATTCCAAAACTGCTTTGAGTTCCTTGATCAATATACCCATGTAGGTTGAGGAGATCGCTTTAGCAAGCAAACTCTTCCTCTTCTTTTTGCCGAGTCTACAAGATTGTAATTTTGTAGTCACATCCTTTGCTCGACATTCCGTGTCCAGTAGATTCATATTTGGTGTATGAAAGCAATTTCTGAAATCGCATCGTATATTTTTCATATAAAGAATTCTCCGAATAATAGGCTGAATGCCCCATATCTATCCCAGGGCTAGTCAGCCAGCCAAATAGGGGGGAGTAACGAAGTTTTCCGTTGCATTAACGTTCACCCAAGCGCAGCAAAGAGAGTGGAAGTGGGCATTGGGCCTTTCCACGGCCGACAAGATGGGAAGGAATTTACAGTAGCGGCATACATAAGAAACTTATCCAAACACGTTATCCAATCTCTCGGTCAGTCCTTTGAAAAGACCGACAACCACAGTTGGAGGCAAAAGAAAAGAGCCGACACCAACAAAAACTAGCAAAAAGCTGCCACTTTACATATAAAAATTTTCAATTTAGAAAATCCCGCGAGTTTGAAAGAAAAGAGGATAAATTCTACAGAGTACTAAAGACCAGCTAAGAAAACACAAAATAGGCCTGAACTCCACGCGAACCACTACAGGACGGACCCGGAATTGGGACTGAACCCCCGCGCACTCCTACAACGGATAGCAAGCCTTTGACTTCTTTGGGTGATGCCGAACTAATAATCCCGTACTAGCTTTTCTAAGTAGAGCTGCGCTCTCCCTATAACGCCGCAAATCCCATAGAACGAAGGAACTTACCTTATTATTTTATTACCCAAACGGCAGGAGATAGACTATCAGCTTACCAACTTACTTAGATACGGCAAGCAGAGCCGGGGAACGAGACGGGTTGAGGTTGAACCAGAGAATAAAACAAGCACCACAAAGACGGTGTTTGACCCCGCTGCCCCTTTCTAATTTAAAATTTTCTTTTCCTTCGACTTTTCCCTACTCTAACCTTGGGAGCTCTAAGATAAGATCTACCCTTCAGTGAGCTACGGACTATTCTCCCATTTAGTCCCTACTTGACTGGCTCACGTACTATGAGCCTATCCCCGCGCATGGAAAGAGGAAAAAAATTAGAGAGAGGCCCATCTCCTTCCTACTACCCGCTACCCTTCCTTCCAATCCATATAAAGATATGCCTTTACTTTCACTCCCTACTGAACTGGACTCTTCCTCTGTCCTTTGAGCTAAAGCTTCCCTTGCCATAGAGCATGTTTCCTCCTAGAAGATATTTTTGATTTTTTTCCTTTCAATGAGCTTCCCTTCGAAGTACTTGGGACTTCCCTTCCCTGCAGGCACAAGGAATACTTTCCTACCGGCAGGGACTGCGAGAAAAACTTGCTTCAAACCAAACCTGCTCCAGCTCGACTTTCGAGTCGAGCCCAAAGCAAAGAAATTTCTTTAGCGGACCAATTCTCGAGAGTTACCACTATTGAAAAATTCGATGAGAATTCGAAAGGAAGTTTCGTCAAATAAAGGCGAATTTCGGTGTATGGATTCTTTCTCTCCGGATCCTATCCTATGGAATTGCTTTTCTGGAGCCTTCCTCGCGGCCGGAATAACAGTGGCTCTTGAAAAGATGTAGTACTGAAATGGCAAAGATTTGTGTTTTTACAGCCGCCCGAACTTTTTGAGGAAGAGATCTTTAACTGAGAGAGCTTCCAGCTAAAAGCCATCCCCTGCGGAAAAACAAGTTCAAAACCTATGCCGCGTGGGATCGAACAACATTTTTTAAAGCAAAGCGCTTAGTCTCTCTGTAGCGGTCTGACCTTATGGATTGAAGGAATTATTGGAGAACTTGGGATTATCGTTGGACTGCTTCGTTGGCCGGTGTCAAGGCCGGCTGCCCAAACACTGAACCATTGAAGGAACCCATAAGATCGGTACTCCTTTTCTTTTTTTGAGAACAAAAAAATGCTTGCAGAGACACCCCTAAAAGCTTGAACTCACCTTTGTCTCACAGCAGATGATCATTCAAAAGGGCCTTCCCCTTTCTGATTAAGATCCAATTCCTTGTGAAAGGGGATGAGGGACATTTTGATCTTCGACATCAATCAAATCAAAGAATTAAAAAATTTTCTGTAAGGAGATGAACCGAGAAAATCCAATTTTTGGGTCATAGGGTGCTTTTAAAAATGAGTGGATTCGCTTTTCACCTTGCCCTATCTTAAGTAGGTCGAAGAAGTTTTGCAACTGAATCGGATGGAATAGGAAGATTCAATATAGGAAGGCCTCAGGGCCGGAAAGATATAGGTACTGTCGCAGGCTCTGGGTCGATAATCCAATCCAAAGTCAACGGAAAGTCCACTCCATCTTCGTGAAATAATACGGAACGGAATCTTGACAAGGACTGAGCCGTGGGCCGTCTAACGGAACTCACCCTGTAGCCGACTTTCTTGGATTGGCAAGACGGAGGGGAGGCTCGCGACACAAAGTCAAGGGACGAGAAAAAAAAAAGAAAAAAGGAGTAGCGGCGTCCCTCCCTATAGAGAGGCTAGGTTTCAAGGGTTTGTCGAGTCATTTACATAAACCTCTCGCTATCGCTCAAAAAACCTTCCTCTCCCTATCGGTTTATACCTCTCCTTTCAGAGAGGATATGGAATGCTCCTAGGGCGGTGTAGCGCTTAAGGTAATTGTAATTTGAGGTCTTAAGCTAGAGCTCGGCCCCAAGCCGCCAGCTATCGGGAGCCCGATCTAATAATATAATAGCGTGAGAGAAGCTATTTTCCAGCTCGAAAGTTATTAGGCAGCTAGTCAGGAAGGTCCTGCCCCCAAAACCAGTTTCCATCCAGTTCCGCCAAGCCATTCCATAAAGTCTAGTTGCCCCAAGTCTGCTGCCCCAGAATGTTCCCAGCGAAAGCATGCCCTTTATTTTAGTTTCAAGCGAATAGGGCCTTTTAGGCTTAGACTTCATCGCAGTTGAAAGCTTAAGAAGTCGCACGCATTCCACATTAAGCTTCTTTAGGCAGTAGTTTTTTTTTTTAATTACTATTACTGTTGAGCTGATACGAGTACTCTCCGAGGAAGATTTCGGCCTGTTCCAGAAAAAGGCATTTCTTTATTCGAGTTACGTGATATGTATCCTTTTGGCATGGAAAGATGATAAACAGAGAAAGAGAAGAGAAAGCGTAGCTAACACATGCAAGTCGCGACTCTCTTTTCTAGATTCCACTCTCTTCCTCACCTATGAGCGAGCTAACAACAAATCCTCTTTTGAGTTAGGATTCCAGCGGCCAATTATGCGACAATCAATTATAGGCTGATTATCGAGGGAATAGCATAAGTGTGTTATTAGCATTTTAAAGGATAACATTAACAAGCGTTTGGCAAGTAAACGAGGAATTCTTACGTAAGATAGAAAGCGGGCGATAGTCTCCGAAAAATGCCCCTCCCCGTGTCGTTGGGAACAAGTTAAGATTTTTCAGGGTTAGAAAGGGCACTTTCCTTGAAAGCGAGCAAGGACTCCGCCTTACTCCACCAGTTTTACGGCGGCGGCGCGGCTACCCTCGAAGGAAAGAGGAAAATTGCTCTACACAGAGCGAGGAGAGTACCCCGACAGCACTTACGGCGGATTTCGGATAATGAAAATATTTCGTTCGTAGTATAGTTTTGCAGACAAGAAAGTAGCTGTGACGTGAACTGCGCTGTGCTCATCAAAGGTTAGCTGCAACCGTGCTGAATGAAAAAGCCCATTCCATTTAATCTGTTTGAGAGAAAGCCCTCACCTTCTCTCTTCGAACATATATTTAAGGTACACTGGGGACGCTTTCAAAGTGTCTTCGGGATACGCGAGTGGGCGGTGTGTCTTTTAAAAAAAGAGAAAAACAAAATTTCGCATGAAAAAAAAAGTATTCAAACTCCTTCACCTTATTCCATTAACTTATGTCAATGATTCGGGATCAAAGTTCATCAGGAGCTCTCCCGCCCCACAAAAAAACAAGTCGAAAACCCTCTGAAACGCAGTTGATGCGGTTCATTAAAGCCGGTATCAACGAGAAATCTAAAAACAGCTTTATGGGAACACGCCACAATTTGAATCTCCCACCTGACTGGACATTTCCCCAAATTACAACAGGGGGAAAACAAACGATTCTGGAGGCATTTATGTTTCGACTTTACAGGATCTATTCTTTATTGATATGGGTTTGGATAGGTTCTTCATCAAGGGCCAACAATCTTCTCCATTTTCTTTTCTTTCAGCGTGGTTAGTCAAACATTTAGGGAGGGGGGATAAGGTAAGATAAAATATATCCATTATTTTATCTTTTGCATGGAATACTTAAATACTGTATACTTTAGCTGTATGTTGTTCCATTGATTAGAGAGGTCTGTGCTCATGCGCACTTTTAGTAGCACTCTATACTATCTTGTTATTTTGCTATGTCTTCTCCTAGGAACTTTTGAGAAGATTACACTCCATGTACTCTGCCAAAGCCACCAATCCAACACAACGCACGTCAGTTTTGCCAGCTCATCATAACCATGAAGCTCCTGGTCCATCATCAAAAGAATTCATTGTTTCTGATAGATCTTCAGAAGTTTCAAAAACCAGTTACCTGCCTAGTGAGGAGCACTTTACAAAAGATTCAATTTTGAAATATTCCAGGCGTGTAGACCCATGTTTCTGGTGGTTCCGTACTATCAATTTGAAGTTTGGTAATTTTCGATTGGCCATAACCAACAGGAAGATTTTGCTGGGATGCTTGATGTTTGTTATGTATTATGTTCTCAGAAGGAAACAAACTAATTTAAAGGGGTAAGATTTGTTCTTCCTGCTGTCTATCATCCGTTTCTTTATTGTCACAACTTAAAATTTAAACATTTAAGTTCTGTTTGTTTCGTGTCCTAGAAGTTTTGATATATCTTACATTTCAGGATTATTAGGAGACAAGTTTTATCCATAAAGAAGGCTTTGGTGGACTTGTGGCAGCTCACATTTTCATACCAAGTGAACCCCCTTGCTGCTGTTCAACCTCTTCCTGCTGTGACCCGAGGAAGCCGGTGATGATTGTAAACAAAACTTTTAGTCTTTTACATGTTGTTCTGGCCCTTGGTCTTTTGTTTTTTTTTTAAAAAAAATATTCACTTACAAAAATAAAGTTTTAAAAGTAATGAAGATAAAACAAAATTATATTCCAAATAAATTAGTCTCTCAATTTTGGAAATCAATCTCTCGTCAGTTGATGGATATTAAATATCACCTTCTTCAAACATGTACTTTTTTAAATGTGGATGAATAATAGGATTTTGAATTTTTTTTTTTTTTCTTTTTTCATTCAGCCGATGGGTAATAAACCCAATTGTACCTTTTGTATGTGTGTGTATATATATATATATATATCAACAATATATATGTATACTTCAATTAACACATTGCAATACCAATTACTTCTTTTATCAAACGGGTTGGTATTGGCAGTAGAAGGATCGAATTGTATCCAAAAAACAGGGGAATACAAAAAGTAATAAGAGAGGCACACAGACCAATCAATCGTATCGGTCAAGCTAGCCGGGCAGATTCAATAGCTGCATTCGATGTGTTCGGATAAGGGAAAACTCCAGAGATTGCTTTGCAAGTAAGATCCTTGCGTTGACCCTTTTGAAGAGTCCTATTTTAGAAGGCCAGTCTTATGATTGTATTAACACAAATATATTTGTATGGTGCATATATATATATATATATATATCAATTCAAAATGCAGACAGAGTTTTGTACAATAATCAATAAAAATAACTCATCTGAAATTTAGAAATCTGTAGAAATCCGTAGCCAATATCGATGGAGAAGAAGACGAGAAATGGAATCAAATGGACTGTAAAATAGTTTAGGAAGAATAAAATATAAACAGAATCAAATGCAGAAAGAAGAACAAAGAGAAAAAGAATAGAAAAAAGAACAGATGAAAGAAGATGAAAATGAAAATAAAATCATAGAACATAAATCGATTTTTCGGTGAAGAACACAAGTGAAACGAAAATGAAATCGTAGAAGAGGGTCATAAGCTTGTACCTAATTGACTTTGTTGTTGAATGCTCTATTTTCCTTCTCTGAGGGTTTTAGTATATTTTATTTTTCCTTTTTGGTAGCAAATATAAGTAATTAATCGTTAAAAGGGAAAATAAATATAGTGCCAATAATGCAAAATATATTCAAAAATTTAAACAAATTTTCATTATATCCAAATATAATTTTACAAAAATTTATATTTAGAAAAATGATTGTCCTTAAAACTCAATTTAACAAACTCATGCACCAACTCCTTATATAAATCTCTACCCTCATCTGTAACCTAGCAACAAGAAATAATAAATAGCGGAAATATAACCTAGCGAGAAATAATAACAAAATTTTAATTTTTCTGTATATATAAAGTTAATGCAAGATACATGTGGCATTGCAGTGAAGAACTTTTATGTTGCTTGGCAATAGTAATTATTTGCAAACAAAGAACAAGAATAACTACAAAACTAAAAGAACAAATAGTTTTGATTTTTGATCATTCACTTTTCAATAAATTTATTAAATTTTATGCCATATTAATAAAAAAAATTTAGTAATTTACAAGAACAGGGCTAAAAATGAGATTATAAGCAGCAAAGAATCAGAAATATCATTAAAAAAAAAAAAAACAAAAGAGAGAGAAAAAGAGAGAGAGAGAGAGTAATATACAAAACCCTAAAGTTCCTGCAGCGAAAGGCGGACAGAGACCATGGACGTTGCAGTGACGAATACATGGAAGTCCAAATTTGCTTCGACGTTAACTAACGTCCCGAAACCGAAAAAGGCAGCTTTGAGAATTTTCACCATTCGTTGCTCTTCTCCTGTCTCTTCCGACGGTGCTGCCACTGGTAGAAATGCCATTCTCTCTCCTTACCTTTCATTCCCAGTTCATATTCTTGTACATGAAATCTGCAAAGAATTGTTTTTGGCTTAGCTTGAATTTTCTACTTAAGTAATAACATTTCTATATGATGTTTATGTGGAAGGCCTGGGAGCGATATTAATTACATATAAAAATGTCTAATTTACTCATCTAAACTGATTTCTTTGATCATGTACATTCCTTGAACTGGATTACCAGTGCCCTGAGTTCCTAATTGCTGTCAAGAATTGGAATGTTTTAAGTTTTGTGAAGTTTTCCCTAATTCATATTTTAACTAATAGAGCATTTTTATTACAAGTTTTGCCATTGTGTAATTGGCCTCAAAAATGGAAAATGAGGTGGTGTAACTACCAGATAATATGTGGATTTTATTTCATTGCAAAAGAAACAGTTCAGCGTCAATATAAATAGAGAAAAATAGAACATGTCGAATATTTAGAGATTTATGTACTTGTTCAGAACGGTTTGAATATATTTTAACTTGGGTTTTAGGGTCTGATCAGCACATTGATCCAAGTGGTTCCTGGTTTTTCCTTTTTAATTGTTTGGAAGCTCTAGTTATTCTGTTTTCCAGAACATTGTTCATTAGTAACTTATTTTTTTCAAATATAAATATGTATATTTTCTGATGCTTAGCCTTTTTTTTTTTTTTTTTTTTTTTTTTGTTATTGGTTGAATTTACTTATTTCTGTTGAATTTTCCAACCCAAAAAAAGGACAAAAATTGGACTTTAGTTAAGAATCGACCTGATGGAAATTAAGATCGACCTGATGGAACTTTGTTGCTGAGCCTTAGGTTTGGCAGAGAGGCCTTGGAAAACTTCCGATGCTAGACTTGTACTTGAAGATGGGTCAATTTGGAGGGCCAAGTCATTTGGTGCCACGGGAACCCAAGTGGGTGAGGTGGTATTCAATACATCTTTGACAGGGTAAGATGAACTAACATGGTTTAGCATCATATCTTATATCTGCTAGCTAACATGTAGAGAAGGTAGAAGAGGCTTTTCTTTTGGTATTCTTATGTTTTCTTATGTGCTAGCAAGTTGTTGTGATGGCATGCTTACTGCTTAGCTTGCTACAAAGTACATTTAATTTTACTGTCACACCAACTTTTACATCCTCATCTCATGTCACAGTTAGATGTTTACATCCTCAAATTTTCCTTGTCCACCCCTGTGGCCTTGGTACCTGGGAATCAGTTCTTGATATTCTCAATGACCAATGTTGACATAATGACCTTGGTGCATGCATGTAATCCGAGGTCAACATGCTGCCAAAACTTGGGGTCTTTCATGCACCATTATTTCTTACTTGACCTTATTCATCTGTGCAAGAAATGGATGCACATGCACTTGCATTTAGAGGGAGAAAGGGATTTGAAATGAGGGTTAGAGTAAGAAGCTAGTTTCAGAATGGGGAAGAAGGCGGACTGTTACACTTTGGGCCTTGTGACCTCTACTTTTAATTGTTCTTCAACTTCTTGAACGGTGGATGTTCTGAAATTTTTAGTGCAAGGAGCTCCATATGATGGGCATTGGACTTACTCATCCACACAATAAAAGTCCCCCTAGCAGTTGCCTTGATTTGCTTTTTTCTTCACCACTGTCATCCTTTTTGCTCATCGAGGACAGTGTTTATGGACTTCTTTAGTGTAGCATGTCGCTGTCATGTAACACGGAATAAAAAACATAGTGAAGCAGACAAATGAATAAAAATATTAGCAATAACAATGCATATAAATATCTTCTTCAAGTTGCTTCCGATTCTTGCTTCCTTTTTGGCCGAGTTTGTGTGCCTTAAGAGTTTTATTGTTGAACAAGTATAACAGCCATGTGCATTCTGATACTCTAGACCTGTGCAAGAGCCCAATGCAACATTAACCACATTTTGCAATTTATATGTGATGTATTAAACAATAAAGTTATGGTTGTTGAATTGAACTGGTTAAGTAACTGGTTAAGTTGCATGGGAGTCAATCTTGGAGTCTAATTTAACTACTCTTATTTACTCATGTGGCAGGTATCAAGAAATTCTTACAGATCCTAGTTACGCTGGCCAATTTGTTTTGATGACAAATCCACATATTGGAAACACTGGAGTAAATTTTGGTGGGTCAAATGCCATTTCAAACCATGGCTTAATATGTAAAATATCTAGTATTGGAATCTAATTTTGATGCCTTTGATTGCCAGATGATGAAGAGTCAAGGCAATGTTTCCTTGCTGGTTTGGTGATCAGGAGCTTAAGTATCAGGTATTCTTTCGCCTTCCCCTGCTTTGTTAGTAGAATGCGTCTTCACTTTGCCTATGACTATTGATGTCTGCTTATTGCATCTGTTAAAGTTTCTGATCACTGTATTTCAGTACTTCAAATTGGAGATGTACCAAAACCATTGGTGATTATTTAGCAGAGCGGAACATCATGGGGATATGTAAGCTAAATTCTAGTGCTGATTGTTTATTATGTGTTCTATGTTGTAATTAGGTGTTTTTGTGCCAATGAACTTTAGTTGTCTGAAACTCTAATTCCCGAGTTCAATTCTTTCTATCACAGATGATGTTGATACACGTGCAATCACTCGCAGATTGAGACAAGATGGAAGCCTTATTGGTGTATTGAGCACAGAAGATTCCAAGACAGATGAGGAACTTCTGCAAATGTCTAAATCATGGGACATTGTTGGTAAGAAAGAGATTATGCAGCTTGATATAGTTGCAAATATTGTAGAGGACTAAAAGTTCTAATTTAATTGGTTCATTTTTGCAGGTGTTGATTTGATAAGTGATGTCTCTTGCACATCCCCTTATGAATGGATTGATCAAACAAACCCAGAATGGGATTTTAACTCTAAAGGAAGTGGAGAGGTCTACCATGTTAGTATCACTATTTTAAGTTTATTTTAAGCTGAATAAATCTCTATCTAAAATTTGCTCTTACACTTGTTGACATATCTTTCTGAATTGAAGGTTGTTGCGTACGATTTTGGGATCAAGCATAATATACTGAGGCGCTTAGCCTCTTATGGCTGTAAAATCACTGTGGTTCCTTCAAAGTGGCCTGAAGGTTGTTGCGTACGATTTTGGGATCAAGCATAATATACTGAGGCGCTTAGCCTCTTATGGCTGTAAAATCACTGTGGTTCCTTCAAAGTGGCCTGCCCTAGAAACTCTAAAGTTGAAGCCAGATGGAGTTCTTTTCAGCAATGGCCCTGGAGACCCATCTGCAGTTCCTTATGCTGTTCAAACAGTCAAGGAATTACTAGGGAAGGTTCCTGTTTTTGGAATTT